GAAGGTTACCAAAGCCAGGGCCTGATATACTCAACCCAGAGAGAACTCTTCTTTTCGGTAAGTGATAAACTCTAAAGCTGTCGGCAAGTAGCGTATGAGAACTACTTCTAAACGACAGTTGCCGTCCCTGCAGTAAGTGATAAACTCTAAGCCTACCGGCAGGTAGCGTATGAGAACTACCTCTAAACGGTAGGTACTGGCTTATGGTTTCATTCATTTTACCAAGTGTATTGTATATTAGGTTTTTGTTTTTCGAGTTGGATTCTTCCCAAAAATTTTGGTACAAGTGATCATTGGTGAGAGTTTACTATACAAATATTATATGCCACTATTTATCTTAAGTTAGTAAGCAATATTAAAAATAAGTTTATTAATTAGTGGATTAAAAAGTAATTTATGTTTACAAACACTTATTTACTACTAACTAATTCTTTTCTAATTAATATTTCTATTTAGTTATAGTATACCAATTTATATATAATATATTGCTATATAAGTATTGGTAAAAGTTTTGCAATTTATATAAATACTATATGCTATACAAATATCATACTATGAGGTGTAGCGACTTAGTGTAGTGGTCTAGTCGTCACCCTCTCCAAGTAACAGGTCTAGAGTTCAAATCCAACTGGCGACGATATTTGAAAAATAGGCCTGTGTTTGGTTAATGGCTATGCTTATCAGTTGGATCTAATCTGTAACTTCAGTCATACCATCTAGTAATGGGAGCTTTAGCACAATAAATCTGAGGAACTGGCATAACTGAAAACCCATTTGGCAAGTCTCAAATTTGGAGGTAGCAGTGATTCTCGACGGTACCACAGGAGGGCTGAATTCAAATCGGGCCTGAGATTGAAGAACTGAGTAACCAGGTCCGCTAGCGGAGAACACACTAGCCAAACCGCTGGGTTGTCACACCGGAGGAAAAGAGCATACACTCTGAAAGTATGAACCAAGAGGGGGGCGTCCTTCAGGCACCTAAAGCCTGGGCAGACCGACCTTTCTGGGTTGCCGGCTGGAAGTAAGGGAGGGACCAATAAAGAATCCAGGTAAGAAGACGGTCCAAATGCAGGTATCAGGGTTGTTGTAAACCGAATAAGGGCAAGGAGTATGTAATGGGTGCCTGATTAGGAAGGTTGGTGCTTGAGAAACGTCTGTAGAACGGCAGCACCCCAAAAGGTGGCATGAGATATATATACGAAATGGCAGGTCAATATGTACTAATTAGGAAGAAGTTATAGGAACATGCAGGTGAATACATGTGTGGGACATGTACTGCTCTGTTAGGTTTATCTCAAGGATAGACTAGCTTAAGTTAGTAAGTCCTAAGGTAGGGTGCAAAATCCAATGCGGGTAGATGCAAAATCCACATATGAATAGTAAGTAATACCCATGGGTTAGAGGGCTGATGATGGTAGTTAGAACCAGATAGTTTAAATGGGTACCCCCGTAGTCGGGGTGCAGGTATGGCAGATAGTGTAGAACCCTTAGCATAGCACTAATGTTTTGGGCAAACCACTTAAATTAGGCACCAAAAGTGCACATGTGGCTTGAGTACCATCATTGTAATTACACTATAAAACATCATCTATACTCTAATAAAAAGTCCCCAGACCAATGAGATCACCTTAATACCAAAAAAAATATATATATATCATACTATCATTCACCTTAAATTAGTAGGTGATATTAAAGATAAGTTTATTAATTAGTAGATTAAAAGTAACTCATGTTTACAAATGCTTATTTACTAACTAATTTTCTTTTAATTAATATTCTTATTCAGCATTATTAACTCTTTCCGATAATCATCTGTACCAAAAATCCAAACATATTTTTTGTAAAAAACACAATAGCACTTAGTAAAAAATGGAGACATGCTACTAGCTATAAGTCGGCAGTTGTTATTTAGAGGTAGTTCTCATACGCTACTTGCTAACTTTTTCAGAGTTTATCACTCACCGCTTGCACGGCACTTGTCGTTTAAAAGTAGTTCTTATACGCTACTTGCCAACAAGCCCAGAGTTTATCACTCACCGAAAAGAAAGTATAGATGCCCACCCCTTTCTTAGAAGAAGGTTAAGGAGTGGTTGAGTCTTTATATGAATATAACTACTTTTCTTGGATACAAGTGGTTTATTCCTAGATGTTTTTTGCTTGGCTAGTCTTCTCCAAATTTTTCAACAAAAAGTGGGCAATTTGGCTTATCCCCTTCAAAAGATTGGCATTGTTTACCTCCCAAATTCAGACATACCCAGGAATGCAACCATGTGCCTTGTTTATTGGTAGATACGACATATGATGTAGTCTATAGATACGGGTTCTCCACGTGACTGGAATCGGGTCTCTGGCATAAGAGGCATCTGGAAGTGGCCGGTAGTCTGATATTAAGTTCTTATATTGTAATTGAGATATACAAACATTGTAGTTGTTATAAAATTTTTTCTTAAACCTGGCACGGGTTATAATAGTGCATTTTTTCTTCTTGTTTTGTTTTTTTTATCTCATTCTCCTTTATGCTATTTCTTTATAGAAGTAGTTCTCCCCTTTGTCAGCCCTCGGGCTTTTCTCTTTGTGTTTCTTTTTTTTACATCTCACTATACCCTCCTTTTCTTTCTTTTAAAATACCCCTTCATTCTATGTGTTTTTTTTTAGTTAGGTTTTTGTTTTGTTTTCTTGGTAGTATTGGTGATTTTGTATAAAATTATCAAGGGAAAAGCTTTGACGGGCTAACAAAGTTTATCTAACTTGTATACAGGTTGGTGCGACAAGTTGCATATGGGCACGTTTATCGCAGCCGGATAATATCAGGCTCGCTATTGCGGTAACTCCCTGTTTGTAGTTATAAATGATATATATATTGTTCAAGAGAGCTCAGCTCTCACCTAAATATAGTTGCAATAAATTGAGTACTGGCAAGACTATTAAAGATTTAAAAAAAAAAATACATACTTTAAGTTTTAAAAGATCTGATTCAAGAAAAAATTCTTTTTGGCAAAATAAATACATTTTATTTCATCAATAATAAATATTGACTAATGTATTATCATAATGCTTTGCAACATTTTTTTCTATTGAAGCTTTGTGATACTTTTTAATTAGGCCCTCAACAATGAATAGAAATACTTTCATCATGTTACGATACTCATCAGCTATAAACTGTTTAATATTTTTTAGACCCTCCTTAAATATTTTTAATCCTGGAAACCTTTGAATGTTTGATAAACGCTGATCAAGTTTATCAATTGCTGCCTAATCGCAAAAGTTCTTCAGCATTTCTCTCGTGTAGACTATTTGATAATTGAATAGCCCTAAGTCCAAATGATATATTTTATCTGGAACAGTGGCTGAGTAAATATCTAGTTGGCTTAATAAAATATTAAAATAAATAAATAAATATTACTGGTAAAAAAATTAATATGTATTAATATACTGTATATTGAATAGTATTATTTAAATACTATTCGATATACTATTAACAACCTATTATTTAACATTATCTCGTGACTTCACAAATATAATAGTGTTGAATAGTAGATTGTTAATAGTTTATTGAATAGTATTTAAATAATGCTATTCAATATCTTTTAAATATTTGTTAGAACTAAATAAATGCTTACTTACGGATATTTCCAGAGTGTGTTTTCTATATTATATAAAGAATATTGGTATGCAAGTCCTTGATCTATAATGTTTTTCATTAAGTTTGGAGTTCTTAATGTCATTTGACTATTACTCAACTTAATGTTATTCATCTTCTCTTTTAACATAAGACATTTATGACATGGATGTTTACAGTTAACTGAATTATACGTAAGTGTCAATGATGAATGCTCCAGAAGATCTCCTATTAATATAAATATAAATAGGTAGCACTATAGGTTGCTATAGTCCATTTTAAGATCAAACCTATTTTCTTTGTAGTCAAGTAGCAGTTCTAGTATAATGTCTAATATATAAAGATACACAGATCGTTTAACAAGTATAAAAGTTTTTGACCTTTTTTGAAATATTGTTTTTGCTTTTATAAGTGGGAGATAACCCAAGAGAACTTTTGAATTAGGTTTGGTATGTTTTCTAATGTTAATTAAATAAATAGGATGTTCATTTGATTTGCCAAAGTGATCGCATGTTGTTGCATCTGAGTAAATAATTATTGATAAAATGTTTGCTGTATCTGGAATAGTTTTTTCTACCTGTTTCCACCACTCCTCATTATATTGTTCATGATAAATCCTTTCTTCTTTATGGTATAATGGTGTAAATTTAAACAATTTTTTTATAGCATCAAAGATTGAACGATAGTTAAGATAATATGTTTCTTCTTTATAAATCACAATAGGAACTTTGTTAAAAAAGATATGTGGTATTGCTATTTGATCTAAAAACCGATAGTCTTGTTTTACTAAAGTTGGTAAAATTATATTATTATCAGATATTTTCTTTGCAAACCTAAGTATTTCACTTGTACATGTATCTGATAGATTCCATTTTATAAGCAACTTCATAAAAATACCATATTCATTACTTGGAAAGCTCATTTCCTTACTATTGACTGGCTTAGTAATATCAAGAGACTCAAAAATTAAAGATAGCTCTACGTCTAGTAATATATGATTCTAAATTTTAAATTTTATATGTAAGTTATATATTGATATCGATATAGTCATATTTAATATTAATTGCAAATAAAGTTTATTTGTTATGCATATGATATTACACAAACAATCATTCATTGTTTACATTTTTTCTATT